TTCATCATTATGTGTTATTAAATTTGATAAAGATATAAAATAATTTTTATTATCATTATTATCATAATTAATTAATTGACGACGTCGACTAAGAGATATTTGTCGATCAAGATTATTTTTTGGTAAATTAAATAGTATAGATAAAAATAATGAACGATTTATATTATTCATTGTTTCTTTTGGTTGTTCACGACCTGTACGTACAAGACGTTTATGTAAACGATATGCCATTTGATGATGATTATCTTGTTTTTTAATATAATCTAATGGTTGTTCAAAATAAGAATAGAATGAATCAGAAATAGCATCTTGAAACCAAAATTCACGAAAATCAATTGTAATATGTTTTCGTCTTAATTCAGCTATACGAGCTTGTTCAACAGTATAATCTTTCCAACAATGAAAAAATTCTTTAACAATATAATCATCACGAAAACGTTGAGTAGGTTGTTTAATTCGAGATTCCATTCTAGAAAAATATCAATATTCTATTATAAAATAATTGAAATTAAATACATACTTATCTAAATGTCTTTGATTTTGAAATAAATCTGATTCATCAATGAAGTCATCATCAAAATAATATGATATATCTGACATAAGATATTTATTTAATGGATGAAATTCATCTGTATGTGCGCAAACTAAAATTAATTTATCAATATATTTAAATACTAATAGAATAATAAAATAGTAAATATCATGTGTTATACGAGTCCTTACGCATTAGCTACTATCTTTTAATGGTATTTTCTAAATGAATGATGTAGTCGCCTTCAGAAAAACTGGTTTTCGAATTTTGACTTGAAAATTAGTACAAAAATAAACTTGAATGAGAATAGTTTACTGTGAAAGTTTCATATCTTTCGATTTTCTTTTATTATGATATAAGAATATCAAATTCGCTGATATATTCAAGCAGTACAAAAGACAAGCTTGTACTATACTTGAGTTTCAAGTCGAAATTCGAGAATCAGTTTTCCTGATGTTTCTGAGGTGGGTTGTAGTCCTTATTTAAAAGCTATCGTAAAACTGCATTATCTCATCAGCAGTAAGGTAGGGATCTGAACTGTTTACAGGATATTCATAGCTCATTTGGTTCTACATAATGAATGTTGTCTTTTCATTAGGAAGATTTTCCTCATCACGGACACTAAGAAAACTTTAAGATTGTTTGTTCATGACGTGTCATTGAACGTTGTGACAAGAAAGAAACGTTTTTTTTTTTCAAATTATCGTTCATTGATCCTGCTAATAATTTAGAATTAAAAGTCATCCAATTCTAAAATCTTTAGCAAGACTGAATTAAGAAATTTCAAAAGTTATAACAATATAGAAACTAGTATTTAATAAGTTTTTTTTTAATGAATCAAAGAAAAAAACAAAATGGTATAAGACTTAAATCAGACATGAAGGAAAGACAATTGATTGGCATTGTTAATTGATATAGAAATGACAATGTTGAAAACTTTCAGAATGTATCCATTTAGAAATCTGATAAGTAATACTAATTTCATAATTCTATTTTAATCTCATAATTTTATTTAAGATTAAAATGATATTATTAAAATCATATATGAATGAAATGTTTTCAAGAATTTTTTTATTTTCCCTGAAATCTATTTATAGTCAAAAAATTAATTCAAAAGCTTGAAATCAGTTGAAACACTTTTATTGTTAGTTTTATTTTTCTTACTTGTATCACTTGGTTGCCATCCATTATATAAATGTGATACTCTTGGAGCAAGACGTTTAATAAACTCTTCATCTGTTTTTATTGCTGTTAATGAAATACGACGAATTTGTTT